CTATTTTTATTCCTGCCTATAACGTTAGCCTACATATTTTCAAATCACTTGTTCTTAATTATTACAGCTTATGCACACTGATCACTTCTATATATTTGACTATTTACTTCGTCCTTTTCGTTTAAGAGTGTTCTACTTCGAACTCTTTTCCTACTCGTTTCTATCAGAGTTATTTGCTTCTTCCACTTTTATAAAAGACTTCTATCGCAACCTGATCGACGTCCGTCGTAGACACCTTTTGGCCTTAGAAGCTCAGGAGCAAGCAAATCTTACAAGTCAATTCGACTCTAAAAAGCAGCATCTGGCAGAGCGACATACTAGAGAAGCTAACGCCAGATCTTCAGTCTCCCAAAAAGGCCTCCAGCAGATGGCTAAGGCTCAGAAGATAGAGCAGGCAACCACACTAGAGCTGGCCCGGACCACGGCAAAAGGTTACAAGGCTGTGCGGCGCATTTTTGAGGCCCCTAGCTTCCAGGCTTCTGCTGCCAGACAGAGCTACCTCTTTATGCCTTTCCTAGAACCGGTTCCTCTTCCTACCTCGGCACCAACGCCATCATCATCCTCGCTGATTTCGGCAGCTACCTCATCTTCCGGTATAGGCTCTTCGGACCAGGTCGAAACTCGTGCAACCTCGGACCCTCCTGGACTGCAGCACTATTATCCGGTGTCAGATTCTGACATTAATTGGCAGGCTTCGAATGGTCAAATGCAAACCGGACATCTAGGGCCACCTGTGCACTGTCATGAGCATACTGACGGTCCTGTCAACTCGTCGCCGTCGATGAAGGAAACCAGCAAGTTTACGGCGCACCAAGGTGGCAACCATGAAAATCATCAGCAACATCGCCCAGAAATAGTGGTTGATGGGGATTCAACCTTTTCTGAAGTATTTAACACGCCCAACCGATCTAAACTAGTGGTACGAATGAGCAGTGGTGTTAACGGTGTTATTGATGCTCTGAGGCCTACGGTTGCATCGGAACTTGAGATACCGCGTACGGAGGGAATGAACACAATTTCAAGCGGTAACAACGAAGGAAGCTGCACGAGTCCGGACCTCTCAAAGGGCTCTTTGCACGAAACTGATATGCATGCTAGCTCGGGCGCTTCACAACAGGCAGTGGCTGCACTAGTTCAGCTGGAAACCGCCCTACAAAACGCTGAGAGTGATGTCGTTGCCTCAACAACTAGCCCAGGAATAAGTGTAACGGCCTCATCTATCATCGATTCTATGACCCAAGAGGCAAGTCCCGCGGACTCTTTTGGCTTTCGCCGTCGCGGGCCCCTTATGATTCACCAAGGGAAGCGCGACTCTTCACTTGGTTTGGCTCAGACAAGCCCGCGTATCACCACATCGCTGTTGCCGAGCCACTTACTTCATGGAGCCATGGTTGCCTCAAAGTCATCTTCAGTTAGTGTTGCTATGGCACCAGCTCGTCGCTGGAAGCCAGCTAACCCATTTCTAACTACCCTTTCGGTGAGCTAACAGTTATATGACTATTGCAAATGCCTTACTTACATTATCTGATTCTGTCAAAGG